GCTTTAACCTGTTCTTTGTTTATTGGTTTCTTCTTTTTTCCGTTTCTTCTTTTTTTGTGTATTTTTATTTTTTATTATTCGCCTTCCCTCCTCTCTCTTTTCTCTTTACTTTTTCGTTTTCCCTTTCGGTTTGCGTGTTTGTTGGATTTGTCAGTGCATTTGTGTGCCTTTGTTCCTGTGCGTTTGTCTCTCTGTTTTTTTCTCCAGGGCTACCTCAAGAAACAAGCCAAAGTACACATGGTGGAGAGTCGCAAGTACCACTACGAGTAGGAAAATAAAATAACCAAGGTCTCAACAAGAGAGACCAAGAGATACCATTCAAAGAACACTTTCTGAACGGATAGGCCCTGGACATCCTGCTGGCGAGGATGTGGAGAAACGGGCACCCTCCTCACTGTTGGTGGGAATGTAAACTGGTACAGCCCCTCTGGAAACAGTGTGGAGGTTCCTCAAAAAACTAACGGTAGAACTCCCCTATGACCCAGCAATAGCACTGCTAGGAATTTACCCAAGGGATACAGGAGTGCTGATGCATAGGGGCACATGGACCCCAATATTCATAGCAGCACTCTCAACAATAGCCAAACCATGGAAAGAGCCTAAGTGTCCATCAACGGATGAATGGATCAAAAAGATGTGGTTTATCTATACGATGGAATACTCCATGGCAATGAGAAAGAATGAAATCTGGCCAAGTGTAGCAACATGGATGGACCTTGAGGGTGTTATGCTGAGCGAAATAAGTCAGGAAGAGAAGGACAAATACCATATGTTTGCACGTATAGGAGGATTAGGAGGAACTTAACGGAGGACCTGGGGGGAGAAGAAGGGGGGAAATAGTGGGGGAGAGGGAGGGAGGCAAACCATGAGAGACTCTTGAATGCTGAGAACAAACTGAGGACTGATGGGTGTGGGGGGAGGGGCGGAGACGGGCATGGAGGAGGGCACTTGTGGGGATGAGCACTGGGTATTATATGGAAACTAACTTGAAAATAAATTATTTGTAAAAAAAAAAAACACCAAAAGACAAATAGCCTAATTAAAAAGTTTTACATCCTGAATATAAATAGAATACAGTTCCCAACAATTAGAGAACATATATTCTCCTCTCTGGAGAATATAAACACCCTGGAGCATTGATAAAAATTAACCACATTACTGATTTGAACCTATTTTTGCATGGATCCTTAAAAATATGTCAAAATGTGGGCACCTAGGTGACTCAGTTGTCGGAGTGCAAATCTCAATTTTGGCTCAGATCATGACCTCACAGTTTGTGAGGTCGAGCCTCACTGATAGCAAACTGCACTGATAGCAAAGCCTGCCTGGGATTCTCTCTTCCTCTCTCTCTGCCCCTCTCCTACTTGTGCACACTCGTCCTCCCTCCCACCCTCTCTCTCTGTCTCTCTCAATACAATCTAAAAACAGTTTTAGGGGCGCCTGGGTGGCTCAGTCGGTTAGGCATCCGACTTCGGCTCAGGTCATGATCTCGCAGTTTGTGGGTTTGAGCGCGGCGCCCGGCTCTGTGCTGACACATCAGAGCCTGGAGCTGCTTCAGATTCTGTGTCTCCCTCTCTCTCTCTGCCCCTCCCCCACCTATGCTCTGTCTCTCAAAAATGAATGAACATTAAAAAAAAAATTTTTTTAAGTGAGAAAGCACAGGATCTTGGATTGAACATAAATAAAGCAAACCTAATCATCTTTACATTTATTCACTGAAGAACTAAGGGGGACCTCTCATAAAAATTAACACAAAGGGAAATAAGCATGACTAGCTATAAATTATCCTGACCCAAGTCACAAACCACAAGAAAATGTCCCTATCATACCAAGAGCACAATCCATTAAGAGGAGATACATTTCAGACAGAAGTAATGAAGGCCCTTGAATTACTTGAAAATCCAATTAATGTGTAACAGCAAATCATAAATATTTTAGGAAAGACTTCAGCCGGCTGCTAATGTGACACGAAAGGGCTGAGTGGCCAAAGATGCTGCAAAGCACGGGACAGGCCACCGCGAGGAGGATGGAACCACAACGGGCTGATGGAGGCAGTTAACCAAATGAAAATGAAAAATCAAACACAGCACCGCACGAAAACGAAATGCTGATGCCCTCAAGTTTTGTAGCACATATGGGGAAATATTTGCTATCTTTCCAGATTGGACAACAAACCTAATAGCTGACATGACAACACCATGAGGCAAAAAGAACTTTTCAAAACCAACAATCAAAAAACAAATTGTAATGAGAACAAACTGAGGGCTGATGGAGGTGGGGGAGGGGGGGAAGGGGTGATGAAATGGAGGGGGGCACTTGTTGGGATGAGCACTGGGTGTTATATGGAAACCAACTTGACAATAAACTGTTTAAGAAAAATAAATAAACAAAACATTAAAAAATTAAAACTAAAATAAAATAACCTGGAAAAAAATCGTAAGCATCCATGCCATAGGAAAAAACCTAAAATGTCCTTCTCTTCTCTTTTGAGAAAATAAAATTCAGGGCACCTGGGTGGCTCAGTCAGTTAAGCGCCGACTCTTGATTTTGGCTCAGGCCATGATCCCATGGGTTTGGGGGTTGGAGCCCCGTGATGATTCTTTGCTGTCGGTGTGGAGCCTTCCTGGGATTCTCTCTCTCCTTCTCTCTCTGCGCCTCCACCACTCACTCTCTCTCTGTGAAAATACATAAATAAACTTAAAAATTGTTTAAGGAAAATAAAATTATAAAATTGTCATATGAAGTGTGATCAAAAAGAACTTGGCCACAAACTATAGTGGAAAGAAGGAGCATGGAGCAAGGAGGGAGTTCAGGCAATTCATTCGACAAAACCATGTTATTTTCTTAGGTTTGGTCACACATGTGGTCGTTGCCAGCTTCTTTTTTTTTTTTAATTTTATTTCTGAGAGAGAGAGAGACAGCGTGCGCAGGGGAGGGGCAGAGAGAGAGGGAGACACAGACTCTGAAACAGGCTCCAGGCTCCAAGCTGTCAGCACAGAGCCCGACGCGGGGCTCGAACCCACGAACCGTCAGATCATGACCTGAGCCGAAGTCAGAGGCTCAACTGACTGAGCCGCCCAGGCGCCCCCAAATCAGACATATAAAGAAGCTGGCAATGGGGTACCGGGGCGCGGAGCCTGTTTCAGATTCTGTGTCTCCTTCTCTCTCTGACCCTCCCCTGCTCACGCTCGCTCTCTCTCTCAGAAATAAAAAAAAAAAAAAAAACATTTAAAAAATAATAAATGTCTGATCTGTTTGATCTCTTTTCTCATCCTAATTATTAACTATAATATATGCACACACTTTCTGAACTGGGCCTCCGAAATCAGAGGAAGCACACGCATCTTTTCACATCAAGAGGTGATGTTTGAAACGGGGCCCAACTCCTCGAAAGCAAGAGCGGTGCGTCTGCCGACACGGCGCCCCCTGGTGGCGGGCCTGAAAAAACCAGGGCCCCACGACAGGTGCACCGAGGCCCTGGACGGGTGCCCTCCGCCCCGCCCCGGGGAGCACAAGATGCCAGCCCTCCTCCTACAGCCATCGGGCACAGAATCCGTATCCTCCAGGATAAACACTCTTACTGAGAAATCCAACGAGTAAAATATTCACCCTGTGGACTGCGTGCTCTTAACAAAAACAACCAGCAGGCCCGAACATTAAAAAAACAAAACAAAACAAAACAAAACAACAAAAACCACAAAACTTTGACCAGACATTCAAGGAACGTAGTACGTCCCTGCAGGGAAGCTGCTCCCGTGACGGAACGCGGCACCTTCTGCGGCTCACATGGGGCCCAGGAGCGCACGCAGCAGGGGTCCGGCCGGGGGCGGGGCCTGGCCGGGGCGGGGCCTGGCCGGGGCGGAGCCTGGCTGGGGCGGATCCTGGCCGGGGGCGGGGCCTGGCCGGGGGGCGGGGCCTGGCCGGGGCGGAGCCTGGCCGGGGGCGGAGCCTGATGCAGGCGCTTCTGTGTAGACCTCCCTCGCGGCTCGCGCTCGAAGTCCCCTCAGGTTTCCCTTTCCCGCCGATTTTCGCACACGCGGGGGGCAGCGCCCCTCACAGCGCCGCCCGCGGGGCCTCCACCGGTCGCCCCGCGACCCTGAGGAGGAGGTGAGCGCGGGAGAGCTTCCGCGGCTACGGCCCCTGAACACCCGGGCCCCGCCCCGCCGCGTGGCCTCGCATCGGCTCTTCCCTCCACGTTGCATGTCTTTCCAGACATTCTTCAGAGAACTTTCTGTTGAGCAACATGGTCGAGGCGCCACCCCCCCAGTGCCCCGAGCGGGGCCCCCCTGCTCCCCGCCCAGCCCCAGGCGGAGCCCGGCGAACACGGGCCTTCGCCCCCGCCCGGCTGCACGACTGAGTCCGTGGAGCAGGGGCGCAGCGTCCGGGGGTCGCGCCTGCCGCCTGCGGACAGGCCCCGCGCCCCGCCCTGGCGCCGGCCTCCCGGGGGGTCGGGGCCCACGGAGCCGGCTCCCCTGAGCGCCTCACGGGGCCCCAGCCTTCGCCCGGGCCCCACAGGCGCCAGGGGTGCGGGGGGCTGCGTCCCGGCCCGCGGAGAAGAGGGTGCCCGGCTCTCCTGACCCTGGGGTGTCTGAGGGAAACCCCGGCGCTGCGAGCGCAAAACAAACCTCCACGCGGGACGGGACGGTTGACGCAGACAACACGCGGCAGGTGCGAGAGTGAGCGGCTTCCGGCAGGGAGGGCCCCGAACAAAGGGCGGGGAAGCGCGGCAGCAGGAGGTGACCGCGGGCCAGCCGCGCGCCTGAGCCGGCAGGGGTGCAAACTCCACGCCTGAACCCCCCGTCTACACCTGCTTCCCTGACGACTCCGCCCAAACCCACCAGAACCACGGGCGGCTGCGGTTGTTCCAGAGGCTGCGGCTCCGGCCGTGGGGGCTCCGGCCATGGGGGTGCGGCTCCAGCTGTAGGGGTGCAGCCGTGGGGGTGCGGCTCCAGCTGTAGGGGTGCGGCCGTGGGGGTGCGGCTCCGGCCGTGGGGGTGCGGCTCCAGCCGTGGGGGTGCGGCTCCAGCTGTAGGGGTGCGGCTGTGGGGGTGCGGCTCCAGCTGTAGGGGTGCGGCCGTGGGGGTGCGGCTCCGGCCGTGGGGGTGTCCCGTCTGCCCACAGTGCGAGCTCTGAGGCTCTGGCCACAGGCTCCGGCGGCTCCAGCCCATCCAGGGTCCCCGGCCGTGAGCGGTGACACAGCCCACACCGTCAACACACACTTCTGTGTCCATCCCGTCCAGGAGTGACGCAGACTGGATCTTAGGGACCTGGGATCCTGTCCACATCTCCTGATTGGGGGGGGGGGCTCCCTCACGCTCTCGGAACCGCGTCAGGATTCACTACTCACAAGCAAGGGGAAACTTCCCTGTTGCCGGCTCAATGCTGCCACCTGCAGGCTCTTCGGGGACTGAGCCCCGGAGCAGCCACCCTCACGCCCCGCTGGGTCGCAGGGGTGCCCTAGCCATGCCCTCCCCAACCTCCTCCTGCTCCGCACGTGACCCCGGGCTGCCCAGACCCCCCCACAGCCTGCCCGTCTGAGCTTTGTGAAGCTTCTAAATGAGCGGATTCTCCAAGGAAGAGCCTCCTTCCTACAGGGGCGGTAGAGCCCAGGGTGCGCTGGGGCAGCCCAGGCCGACCTTTCTGTTCGGCGCCTGAGCTCAGACTTTATCCAGGAGACAGGACACTGATGTTCAGAGATTTTGTGAACAGAGCTGGTTAACACAAAACTGTCCAGCAGAGGATGGGGTCAGCAGCCGCCTAAGACGGCCGACTGGCGCTTGTCTGTCAGGTAGGCATGTGTGATGCGCTGCAGGCCGCGGAGGGCTCCGCACCGCCGGGGCGCGCTGGGGTCACTACGTGTGGGGAAGAAGGCAGGGCCCGGAGCGCCCGGGGGCGGGGTGCCTCCCCAGCACGCGCAGGTCCAGGAGCTCAGGGAGCCGGGGGCTCCTGGCGGTGCACGTCCCACCTCGGATCCAGGGCAGAACACAAAGTGACAGTGGGGCGAGCAGGCGCTCTAAGGCGACCCGCGAAGAGGCAGCGGGTGCCCGCCCACGGTGACCACGCGGGGGGCCTGCATCTGCTCGGCCCGACGCTGGCACGCGCCTGGGCGGCCGCCGCACCCCTGCGTCTCCGGGCCCTCCGCCCCTCCGGCGCCCGCCGGCCCTGCCAACACCCGGAAGCGCTGGGATACCTCTGGTGAGGACCCCGGGGTTCTGCGAGGCCCGACCTGTCTTCCGCTCAAAGTTCGGAAGCTCCTCGCAGGGACCAGAGTGGCTCAGGCCAAGGGCGCCGGCAGGAAACGCAAGGACGGCACGGCTGTCACCCAGAAGCGGAGGGCGTCAGGGAGGGCTTGCGCCTGGGCCCCGCGCTCCCAGCACCGCTGGGGCCCCCGGGCCTGGGGCACCGGCCGGGCGACATTCACCAGAGACCGCCGTCAGCCAGGTGACTGTGTGAGCACACGTGGCTTTCGGCGTGGCCTTTTCCACGGCCGCCGGCCAGAAGCACCCGCACCCCGGCCCGGCGAGACAGACGCCCCGGCTTCCCGCGTCCGCGCCGTGGAAGCCAACAGGCGGCTATGCCAGGACAGAGAAAGCCCTTCTGAGGAGAAGCAGCAGACACACCAGAGAGGGAGACTAACCTCGTCAGGAACCAGGAAAATGCTCGACAGGGCCACACCCGGCATCCGCGGGAGCCCGACCCAGCGTGACCCTGTGCAGCCAGGCGGACGCGCGGCCGGAACTCTCGGGAACCGGTGAGTAGGACACATACCGCCACTTGGGACGCGCTTTGGTGGTGTCCGCGGTCGGGCCACACACACGTGCCCTGTGACCCAGGCGTGGGCCGTGGGGCTCGTGGAGAGCGCTGACCGCACAGCTTCCCATCCCAGACCCAACCCCGACGCCGTCCGACGGCCCGCCGAAAGCAGGGCTGGTGAGTAAGCGCCGCTACAGCTGCACGGCAGGAAACTACACAAAACTATGACAAGAAACACGGAGGGGCCCTGGGTGGCTCAGTGGGTTAAGCGTCTGACTCTTGATCTTGGCTCGGGTCACGACCTCCATGTCTGTGGGTTCAAGCGTCACATCAGGCTCTGTGCTGAGAGTGTGGAGCCTGCTTAGGATTCTCCCTCGCAATCTCTCCCTCGCCATCTTCTCTCTTCCGCTCCTCCACTCACTCTCTCTAAAAATAAATAAACAAATGAATCTTTAAAGAAGGAAAAAGAAGCGTAGATGATGCCACAAAGAGAAAGGAGGACCACGGCCGCCAGCGGGGCACACAGGAGGCAGCCGGCACCAGGGCTCAAGGTTGGTGGCATCGCTTTCCACTGACACGCAAGGTTCCTCCTTTCCCTTCCCACTCTGAGCCTCGGACGTTTCTCCTGCCTCCTCTGTGTGAGCTCCGCCTTCCACACCTGCCCCCACCCTGCTGCCCCCGCCCCTTGCCTGGAATTGCCTGGGCCCTCGCAGCCTGCCTCCCGGGGTGCCTCTCAGCTGCCCGCCTTGTCCCCACCGGAGGGTCACCTTCAGCGGGTTTCTTTTTTCTTTTTTTCATGTTTTATTTATTTCTGAGACAGCGTGAGCAGGGTAGGGACAGAGAGAGAGCAAGACACAGAATCCGAAGCAGCTCCAGGCTCCGAGCTGTCAGCACAGAGCCCGACGCGGGGCTCAAACCCACAAACCGTGAGATCACGACCTGAGCCGAAGTCGGACGCTTAACCGACTGAGCCCCCCAGGCGCCCCACCTTCAGCGGGTTTCTATACAGAGCTGTGGCTGACGCTTCTGAACCCAGGGCCCGCGATCGCCTCAGGACTCGCAGCGCAGCCACCCGCTTGTCACCAGCTACACTTGAGGAGTGGCTCCCCTCCGAGGCACGCACCCCGGAGAGCTACTGTTACAGAGCTCCTGGCAAATGACCATCGGCTTCTTGTTACAACAAAATAAATACGCATCATAAAAAAAAACTTTTTGTGAAATAGAAAATCCATCCTAATACATATAAGAAATTTTAAGAGACCACCCCCCCCCCCAAATAGCCCAACCATCTTGAAGAAGAACAAAGTTTGAGGACTCACATTTCTCTATTTTTTAAATTTATATACAAGTTAGTTAGCATTTAGTGCAATCATGATTTCAGGAGTAGAATCCAGTGATTCATCCCCTACACATAACACCCAGTGCTCATCCCAACAAGTGTCCTCCTTGATGCCCCTCCCCCATTGAGCCCAGCCCCCCACCCACAGCCCTCAGTTTATTCTCTGTATTTAAGAGTCTCTTATGGCTTGTCCCCCTCTCTGTTTTAATATTATTTTTGCTTCCCTTCCCCTATGTTCACCTGTTTTGTATCTTAAATTCCACATGAGTGAAGTCATATATTTGTCTTTCTCTGACTAATTTTGCTTAGCATAATACATTCTAGTTCTATCCATGTTGTTGCAAATGGCAGGATTTCATTCTTTTTGATTGCCTAGTAATACTCCATTGTATATACATACCACATCTTCTTTATCCATTCATCCCTCAGTGGACCTTTGGGCTCTTTCCATATTTTGATCATTGTTGATAGCACTGCTGTAAACCTTGGGGTGCATGTGCCCTTTTGAATCAGCATTTTTGTATCCTTTGGATAAATATCTAATTGTGCAATTGCTGAGTGTTAGGGTAGTTCTATTTTGAATGTTCTGAGGAACCTCCATACTGTTTTCCACAGCGGCTGCACCAATGTGCATTCCCACCAGCAGTGCAAGAGGGTTCCCCTTCCTCCGCATCCTCGCCAACATCTGTTGTTGCCTGAATTGTTAATGTCGGCCATTCTGATGGGTGTGAGGTAGTATCTCGGTGTGGTTTTGACTTGTATTTCCCTGAGATGAGTGATGTTGAGCATTTTTTTCATGGATGTCTCCTTTGGAAAAGTGTCTATTCATGATGTCTTTTGCCCATTTTGTTAGTGGATTATTTGGTTTTTGCTATTGAATTTGATAAGTTCCTTATAGATTTTAGATTTTTATAGATTTTATATCCTTTATCTGGTATGTTATTTGCGAATATCTTCTCCCATTCCATCAGTTGCCCTTTAGTTTTGCTGATTGTTTCCTTTGCAGTGCAGAAGCTTTTTATCTTGTCCCAAGAGTTCATTTTTGCTTTGGTTTCCCTTGCCTCCAGAGACATGTCAAGTAAGAAGTTGCTGCAGCCCAGGTCAAAGAGGTTGCTGCCTGTTTTCTCCTCTAGGATTTTGATGGTTTCCTGTCTTACATTTAGGTCTTTCATCGTTTGTTTTTTTTTTAATTTTTTAATGTTTTGTTTATTTCTAGGAGAGAGAGAGAGACAGCATGAGCAGGGGAGGGTCAGAGAGAGAGGGAGTCACAGACTGAAACAGGCTCCAGGCTCTGAGCTGGCAGTCAGCACAGAGCCCGACGCGGGGCTCGAACCCACAAACCGCGAGATCATGACCTAAGCGAAAGTCGGACGCTTAACCGACTAAGCCACCCAGGCGCCCTGGTCTTTCATCGGTTTGAGTTTATTTTTGTGTATGGTGTAAGAAAGTGGGAGGATTCACACTTCTTGATTTTATTTTTTTTAATGTTTTATTTATTTCTGAGAGAGGAGAGAGAGACAATGTGAGCAGGGGAGGGTCAGAGAGAGAGAGGGAGACACAGAATCTGAAGCAGCCTCTAGGCTCTGAGCTGGCTGTCAGAGCCTGATGTGGGGCTTGAACCCACAAACCGCAAGATCATGACCTGAGCCAAAGTAGGATGCGCAACCGACTGAGCCACCCAGGCGCCCCCACACTTCTTGATTTTAAAATTAACTGCGGACCACAGTAATCAAAACTGGTGCTGGCATAAGACAGGTTTACAGACCAGTGGAAGAGAAAACACAGCCCAGAAATAAGCCCTCTCCTCACATGGATGGCCAATTAGTCCTCAACAAGGTGTGCCAGGACTACTCAATGGGGAAATGAGAGTGTCCGTAAATGATCCTGGGACAGCTGGATGTCCACATGCAAAAGAGTGAAGTTGGACCCCCACCTCACACCA